GATGTCGCAAGTGCAACAGAAATCAGGAAAGTAAACAATGGAGAGTAACATAGAAGGAAGCCATGGCAACCAAATTTTGCTTTAGTCATGTCCTTTCTTCTTTTATTTTGGTAAGTCTCCGCTCTGTCCCTTTGCTCCCAAATAGACAGATGCGCGCAGAGAGCACACAACTAACATTCCGTCATTTAACAACAACTCCACCGCTAGGCGGTTTATACTCGGAGCAACCAAGCCTTCTAAAAGAAAACATGCCGATAAGGAGGAGAGTCAGTCTATGAAACTGGAGAGAATCCGTGAACACATTCATTGGATGTTCATGTCTCAGGCTTAATCAAAACTACCCATGCCACAGCAACTGTGAGTGTGCTGATGGCTATATCAGCACAAACACACAAAGATGAAAATATTGTTATGCACTGCTCATGCCAAAGGAAAAAAGGCTACGCTTTTTTATATAAAAATATATAATTAATGAAAATAGTTTGCTGTTTTTTGAATGGTTTTAATTTTGGTCTCTCTATCAGATAAAAGTATTTTGCACTTTTCTGAATGAAATTTAATGGAATTCTAAATTACAACTTCATTTAATTAAACTACATTCTCTTTTACTGTAACTTTGTTTGCATTTAACATAATGCCTAAGAGAAGTAATATCTTTCTTACAAATATATGATGAGAAGAATTATATATATTTTTTCTGGCCAGTAAAAATAATGCTTGATCGGTAAATAATTTTGTCTTCCGGTCCACTTGGCCTGTGTGTCAAAAAATTAATTTCGGACCCTGGGTATAAGGGTTCAAATTGACTGTATTTATAAAATCTAGATGAGCATAAAGTGTTAACATTTCTACTTTTCTTGTATTAAATAAATATTCATAATACATCTGCTCCTATTTTCACCAATACCCAATTTTAAAATTCCTGCAAATTTAGGATCAATGCCGGTATTAAAATCCGATTGATGCATTTCTGACTAGTTATTTCATGACAAACTTACACTGAGAGCAGTTCTCACTAACTTCTATTAATAGCCTAGAAACCCTAAGGAACAAGTGCCGCTCGTAGATATATTTGGAGTATGCAAATGCCTAGTACCCCACAAACTGTGACGGGGCTCCAAAGGAAAGACAATCCACCACTTTAAAATTTAAACAGAACTTATACCGCTCTGCCCTAAATTACAGTATGCTTAATGTTTCTAAAAAAAACTTATCTTTGTGATATAAAATCCACATCCTAGCTTTCCTTTTAAATCTGTAAGTAGTTTTCATATGTATCTATTTTATAGCCTTTCACAATTACTCTCTGCTTATATATACCATGTATAATCAATGCATACTGTACATAGTCTTTGTGCACAATGAAATAAATATTTATATCCTGTATAGCACTTCTGGATAGAAGCAAACCACATTTCATTGCTTCTATTTATGACAGTGTAATGACAATAAAGTTGAATTATATTCTATTCCATTCTAAAAATAAATTATAGTCTCTTTAAATGTTCTTTTTTGTTGGCAAGCTTTTAAGAAATAAGTACAAATGTGACATTCTACTTATGGACTCAAATAGTGGTCTTTGCCCTTCCTTTCCTGAACTTTCTGTTGAGCAACAGGGACGATTGGGTCTCCCGCATAGCTTGTTGATCATGTATCCTATGGACACATTAAACCAAATCAGGATAAGCTAGTTTATATTTTCTGTGCCCAAAAAAAGCACATCTTGAATGAGGAATATTTAAACAGACAGAATTTTTCTCTTCAATGGCTCCATGTTTCCTTAGTAATGAAATCCTTTAGATTTCTTTCATCCTACTTACAGTATTACATCTCCCTTTTTGTAAAGGATTGAAAACAATATGCAGAACCTGTATCATTTGTTAAATATCATTACAAACAATTTATCACCACCAGGCTTATATTTAAGAGCTTTTTGCACATTTCACCTCTGTTGAAATTAAAGTCAGATTGCTTTCTTCAGGAAGCAGACATTAAAAAGAAAGAGGCAGGAAGGAGATAAGGAAAGACAGAATGATAGACACTGAGAAGCACAATATGCAGAACAATATGCAGACAAAGAAAAAGGGAGGTAAGCAAAGATGGATAAACGAAAAGGAAAGAACAAAGGGAAGGAAGATTTAAGTATATATATTAATGGACATGAAAAAGAAAAAAGAAGAAGTGGGAGGTAAAACAAATCAGAAACAAAGTGAAAAGGGGAAGAGGGACGTAGGTGGCCTACAGAAAAAGCCAGAAAGACACTTGACAAAGGACATGCTGAGGCATGAGGTTTGAAATATAAATTTGTTAGTTCAGTCTCTAACGTTATGCTCTCTCTGCTTTTTCCTCATAGTAGCTTTGCCTCGTCTGTTCCTGTCTGTTCCTATCAGCTGTGCTGCTGCCATCAACACCTGTGTTTATAGATGTTGGAGATTTGCCTGTTTTCCAGTGTAGTCCTGTTTCTCTGACTGTGACTGGCTGGATGTGCTCTTTTCATCCTCTGACATGGGAGCTGGCTTAGAGCTCGTCTGCCTGGCTGTGTGTTTCCTGGACAGGGCCTCCTTTTACAGTTGAATTTGTATCTCTGCTTTTGTCTTTGAACCCCAGTCGGCCTCAGCAGATGGCCGCTCAGGCTAAGCCTGGCTCTGCTGGAGGTTTCTTCTTGTTAAAGGTACACTATGCAACCGGTGTTGATTTTCCAGTGAGGCTCCCTCCAGAGGGCGAAAGTAAAAGTGCACTGTCGTAAATATGCACAGCTGTTCTCCTGGTTTCTCCGTCAAGCCAGGCGCGGTTGTTTTGAGCTTAGCAGCGAATGACTAACGCTGCGTTCACACTGGACGTAGCTGGCGCGACAGAAGCAGCGAGTTTACATGCAAAGTCAATGGTTGACGCGCGTCAAGGCGTTGCAAAAGGTCCCGCGCACCAGGCGCAGCACGTCTGAGCAGCTGAAGCAGCGCATCGGGTGCGTTTAACGCAGGGAGAGAGACACAGCGCTGATGATCACTCCTCTTAAACAGTTTATTGACGCCTAAATTAACTGAAAATGCAGAAATCTGCCGGCAGAATATGCAGTTTGGATTATTTAGATGAAAAACACCTACCAGCTGCCGCGGTGAACCGCTGCTGATGAAGGGATCCATACTGTCGGCGCCCCGCTGGTATGTGGGGGTCTGAGCGGCTCCGACAGAAAAAATGTTGGAAGGCAGGATGATAATCTGAATGAACTGACTGCACTGATTACGTTTTCAGGTGTATTTTCTCACTTAAAAACATATTAAAACTACTTTATTCCCACTGATCACAGCAAATATAGCTGCAAGGCAGAGAAAGGATAGTGAAGCTCCGCCCAACGCGCTTCAGACACACTTTTGCACCAGAGCAGCAAAGCTGCTTCAGCCACACGTCAGAACTAACTGGTACAAGCAGCAAAAATGAAGCAGCAGACGCGATTTTGCTGCTTTTGCTGCGTGAACGTAGCATAACTGCACAAAGATTACCACTGTGCTAGCAACGAGAATGCTTTTAACTGGGGGGTGTAGCAGTTCTCGCCGTAAAGCAAGACTGACTCTCACAAGACTTCTGAGCCTGTGGGTGCGGGTCGGTGCTCCTGCAGTTGCAAGTGCAGTATTTCCCCCACAGACCACCAGGGCGGCCGAGAATACCTTTGTTCAACCTGAAATGACTCATTTAATCATCCATAACGTTATGGAACACATTAATTAACTGAAAAATGTTGCATAGTGTCCCTTTAAAAGGGAGTTCTTCCTCTCTACTGTCGCTACAAGCATGCTTAGGGATTGCATTAAGGTCAATGAGCTGATGCAAACAACTGGTTTTCCTTATATAGATAACTTTGAATCAATCAAATGGGAGGGGGGGTTCTTTTCAGTACTTCCCTGGGTCTGGAAAATGGATAATATGTCAATTTTCCAAACTTAAAAATCCAGAGTGAAGAATTTTGTACCTCAATGATTTGCTAAAATAAATACCCATCAGAAAATGGAATTAGTGTTTAAAGTTTGAGTTAGCATAAGGGGAAAAAATTGTTTAAATCACCAGATTATTCAACCTCGATCAAAAATTATGCATATTAGTTAGAAATTTACAGCTTAGGATAAAAAATTCAATACTCTAAATTACAATTTTTGATTGAAATACTTAATACTTTTGTTTGTTTGTTTGTTTGTAAGAATGAATAACTGTATTTTAAATGTATACAAAGAGGTTGTTTTTCAATAGTTTCTTGAGTTTACCAGGTTATCTCTACCACTTATCTTACCACTGTACAGAAAGACCTTGATTTTAACCTAATGATTAATTGATTAATTAAAGAAGATGCTTCTTTAAATAACTTTTTTTGCTTCACCTTATCACAAAAACAGTAATTAAAAACGTCAAAATGTTTCAACAATCCTCAAAATACACTTCAGAAAGGCGGTGATATCGCTTTATAAAAGTTCCTAACAAAATAAAACTAGAACGTGTTTACCTGCCATTTTTAAAACCTGCTGTTTAACTTGACATATCCCATTCATTAAAGAGTTTTTATATGTCTTTAAAAATATATATATTTCGCATGAAAATAAAGTTAACTCACCGTCTAACTATCCGACTGTTGTCCTTTTCCGTCTTTACACTGAAAACTTTCGCTTTCATTTAGACACAGAATGAGTGTGATACCATCTACCAACCAGCAGGTGGCGGTGCTGCATCGTTATTTTCTCTCTCATTACTCAAATAACTCATATAAGGTAACTTCCAGACCTTAATTTTCTTAATGTATGTTCAAAGCATTTTTGATATATTTCAAAAATTCTCTTTATTTCAATGCAAAAATCCTTTATTGATCTTGAAAGGATGAATATCAAAATATCTAATTCCTTTAAACATAGAAGCTGCTACTATGTTTTGTCTCTAAGCATATAACTTTTACATGTATGCTTCTTTCTATCAGTGGTGTGAACTAAATCCACAGGAGTGATTCTTCATCCATCTTTAATGTTAAGCTGTCTGGATCATCCATATCTGCCCTCAGTGTCTGATCAGGTCCAGGACAGGCAGTGTCTTCCTACTTTGACAAATGGGCAGCGTGTCTGATGGATTGGTCAGAGGGTAAATAACCTATATTTAGAGAGCCCCAAAACAGAGTCAGCATCGTGAAAAATACTGGGTTCTCCAATCTATGTTGGGAGCTAGTGTGTCTTTATCACCTTTGAACAAATTAGATTTTGAATGTGTTTTATCTATAAGAGTTACTCCAAATGTAATACATTGTGTTTATTGTGGGGTTTTTGTGCTGATGGTGCTAAACTAAGAGTTACGTACTGCGGTTGGGTTATGGTTTATCGAGGTCGAAAAGGTTATGCTTCTATGTAATAAGTTAAAATAAGACTTATGCTCAGGGAATGAGACAAAGGGTAAACTGATTTTATTATTTTTGGTGGCAACACTGAAAACCCAAGCTGTGGTCTCAGCAGAGAAGTACGATTATAACATTTAATCACAGGGCCCTATCGCTGAGCTTCGCAAGCTTCTCGCCTCGAGGTTTGATTTACCCGCCCTCTTCCTGAGGAAAAATCTCATTCACTAGACGGATTGCCAAGCAGCTCCCTCTGACTAGCCTCTATAAATCATTCTTTAATCAGAGGCCTGTGAGATTGGGCGCAGACACCAGCGGGAGCGCCACTGTGACATCTCAACTCCTCCCCATGTGTCTTTGCAGTCCTGAGAGTTTTTACCCTTCACTGTTTCCCCACCTTGGGCCTTGTCTGGATTTCTACCAGTCATCAGAAAAAAACTAAGAAAGATGACCACACACCAGTCCTCCAACTTTCTCTGCTACAAGGCAAGTTGTGCCAGCAGAGATCAGTTCAGATAAAAAACTCTCCTGGATAAGAATATTTCAAGGGGGTCTAAAAGTTGTGGTCTTATACAGTAACAGGATGTATTTGGTGAATGATGGGTTGGTCTACAAAAAATATATATATATATTGTAATTTGTTCATGACTACTGAGTTAAACTTTACAGTTTAAAAAAAAGTGCAGCTACCTTATGTGTGTGTCTTACAATGATTTTCAGCTATTAATAGTTTATTTGAACAATCCTGATACATTATATATGTTTAATGATTTTAGAAATACAGCAAATTAGTGCAAAAGCTTTAATTTATTGCAAATTATATTGAAACCAGTTTGGGGTCTTCATTTTCTTGGAATGTATAACACCTTTATCTATCCAACCAGAACCTTCCCTCTAACCCAAGTCTATCTTAGACTGGAAGTTAAGAAAGGAAGTTAAGTGTCACTATCCACATTAACTTTATGTAAAAGAAATAAGTTGCATTTGAAAAATATATGCAAATCCAATTTGCGCTTGGTGGTGAAGAGAAGAGTTTGATGATGAATGATGATGAGACAAACATCAGATTATCTGGCAAAAGAAACAGAAAGTATTGTTGGAGATGCTATTATGTGAGCGGATAGGATCACTGTAACAGCATGATGGTAGCAGTAATATAGTGAGGGCCTGGCATAACAGATGTTTTCAGAAGTCATTAACGCTTTCAAACCAAAGCTTACCGTACAAAGCAAAGTGCTGAGGGTTTCTTTCGGTATTTTGCACTAAGTGAAGATTGATAGCTCCCCACATATTGAACTCCTGATCAAAACGTCAGATATGGTTGAAACTTGATCTTTGTCATATTTTCTTAAGCATCATAGAGAGGATTCTGACCAGCTGTCTCATTGTGTGGTGTAGAGGCTGCAGCGCCTCAGACTGAAAGAAAGTGAGAAGAGCAGTGAGGACAGCAGAGAGGATCACCAGGGCTCCTCTGCCCTCCATTAAAGACATTTCATCCCAGCGCTGTGTGTCCCAATCCCATAACATCATCAATGACCCCTCACACCCCCACCATGGACTGTTCTCCCTGCTGCCCTCTGGAAAGAGGCTTCTCAACAGGTTCTGCAACAGGTTTTTCCCAACTCAGTGTTCTAATACATTTTGCACCATATGTACTTTGCAATGCACTGAACCTTTTCATATTAATTCCTTTTTGCACCATTGCTTTTAGACTGGTTTATTTTCTCCTACACTCCTGTTTACATTCTGATTTCTGCTGAACTTTATAACTGGGAATGTTCATTTCACTGTTTTACTGTTGTGAGCTGCTCATTACACTGTTGTAAGCTGTATGCAACAGAATTTTTGTTTAGTATACACACAAAATGACATTAAAATTTGTTTAAGTATAACATTGTTCTGCTGAACAATTCTGGACCACACCAGAAAATCTAACAAAATTTATAATGTACCATTACTAATCAACATCTAAAAAGAATTATCCCAAATTGTTATTTTTCATGTCAAAGTGAGGACATTCCTTGCAATTTTCTGTAGGATATTTGTCCAAATATTATGAGATCTTCATGTTTGTAATTATCAAATTTTCCAGATGATCATTTATGATTATCTATGAAATGATAATGTTGAATTAAAGGTGAAACAATCATCACCTAAATCTGCCATGCAATTTGACTATAAAAGGCTGTCTGTCATATAAGCAGCTTTATATCTGCAAGAGGGTTTGCCAGTTCTGCCCAAAATAGTCCAATTAGCAAGTATGCACCAAATGCTGCCAATTTAATTAGCTACAAAGAATAATAAACTGAAGTTTAAAAAAGGAAATCTCCCAAAAACCCAACATTTAGTGTGATGAATTAATTCTCACCACATAATCCTTTAATGTGGCTGTTTTGGAGCTTCACAGAACTTAACGGTACTGAATGTTGTGTGCTACTATGTATGGTAAAATCTGCCTATGAGCTGATGTTGTGTGAGCTAACATAATGTAGTTTTTATTTTTATTTTTTGTCCCCCAGATAACCTACACTGTATATCTTCTGTATATAAGTCATAAGTTAATGTGCCCCTTTGGCTGATGTCTTCCGTAATGTTTTTGGCTTGTGAAAAGCACCAGCAGGACCAGGGGAAAATAACTCCATAAAAAACAGAATCAAACTAAAATCATTGCCAAAGTAAAACCGAATCATAAGTTGTTTTTGGCACTGATATTTTAACTTTTCTCACTTTTTCTGATATATTTTTGAAACAAAGAATATAACACAGAGCTTCAAGAATCAGGACAACTGTTTACAATCTTAAACAATTGGGTTACGTCACTCCTGACACAGAGACAGCATCAGAGGCTTAAGACTGATCTGCCCTGATATTTGGCCTTAATTGTCAATTTCACTCATCTGTCTAACTCTGTCCAGTCTCTAATTATCACTCATCTTATCCACCCGTTTCTGTTCCTTTATATTTGGTCCAGCCCAGCTATTGACGCCAGATCATTGTTTGTTTTCTGTTTGTTGTTTGGTTTATTTCTAAGGTTCATGTCTTCGTTCCTGGGTGCCAGTGGGTTGAGAGGTTTTGTGTTTGTCTCATCTTCTGATCCTGTTCTGGCCCTTCTCCACGCATGTCTCAGGGTTTTGGCTCGGAACGCAGGGAAGGTTGGTTTTATTCCTGTAAGCCAGGCTCCTAGGGGAGACCAGTTTAAAGTCTTGCAAAAATCTTGGTACCAGGTCTTGTCTCTGTTCTCTCAACCCCAGAGCCTGCCTGTATGCATCTGTGCGTGTCAGTCTGGGCACGCATCTGGACTCTCTTGAACTCTGAACCAGCCTGAGCACTCTGTGGATTCCTGAACCCCGTTTCTGTCTGTTCCTGTGTGGATCAGAACTTCTAATCGAGCTGAGGACTCCTGGATCTCAGAACTGTCCGGTTCTGACCTTGATCAGTCTCCGGTCAGCTTTCTGTGGTTGTTGCATTGATCGGAGACACCCTGGACAGCTCTGCGCTGGATCCCGTTCGGCAGTCCATCGGATGGATCCTGCTTTCCACACAGAGAATGGACTGAACTGTTAAACCAGGTAAGTGACTCACTCTTATAATCATCTTCTGTCAGATGATTGGGTCACTTACCTGTGTTTCTCCCTCCAGAGACTGTCAGTGATTGGGCGGTGCCCTGCCCCGCTTTCCCCACCATCGCTGCAGATCCACAGATCCGCAGCCCGTTTCTGTTCTGTTTCAGTTCTGTTTTGTTTCAATAAACACTTTGAACTTTCCTACTGACGGTCTCGCTTTGAATACTGGATCCATCTATCCCATTTCATGACAGTTGGTCCAAATTCCCATTTTATATGAGAGTATTTACTTCTGGAGAAAAAGTGGAGAGCCACAGAATCCAGTCTTCCATAGTCCTAAGGTTTCCACTAATGGGGAGTGTTGGCCTAGTGGTTGGAGCAGTGCGCCTGTGCTCTGAGAAGGTTGCAAGTACCCGGTTTGATAACCACAGCCTGCAGTCTGGGTCCCTGAGCAAGATCCTGAACATCACACTGCTCCCTAGGCGCCGCACAATGGCAGCCCAAGGCAAGGGGATGGGTTAAATGCAGATAGTGAATTTTGTTGCTTTGTACTTGTGGCATTGTAGTGACAATAAAGTTGAATAATATTCTATTCTGCTTAGTTATGTCACCTGCTGCTGTTGATCCTCTAAGGTCTTATTTTCCAGTAGTATGTGACACCTGCTGATTAAAGTGTAAATACTAGTTTTGACTGACCAGCAAACTCGCCTAAACACCAAGAAATTATTGTTAGCGGAAGATAAGGGACATTAAACCATTTAAATTAAGTTAAAGGCCACTATAATGTTCAATACAAAGACATGCTTACAGTAAGCAAGAGTTTGCATTCAAACCCTTGTTTTATGTTGTTTCTTTTCGATCTAATGTAATATTCTAACTTTGATTAGTGTGTATAAATTGAAATAAATGTACCTTTAAATCATGTTTGACATAAACATGAAGGTATTTCACATTTAGCTAAGGGAGAAATTAATGGTTATCATTGTGTCTCCTGCTTCTTCATTATGATGTTGATGTAAATATTTTTATTTTAAAATATTATTCTTTGTTGAGCTAAAGTTTAGGTGATTGTTTTGCATCAGCTCTGAACATCAACGAAAATAACTAAGATAAGATAATTTATTTATTTTTTTACTCCACAGTGCTCTGACGTCACAGTATTGAAATGTTTTTGCGCCACTCGGATGGTTTGGAGCGCCCAGTCCCCGCATGTTTCTACAGCGTGCGCTCCTGCAGTCTCCCTGTCGTGCGTAATGATCACGGAGACCTTCAGGAGTTTTAAAGGAGGATGTCGCCTTCCAAGTCAACACAAAGTGACCTGACAAATTCCCTGGCGGTGAACTGAGAGGATGGGAATGTGAATTTATGGATCATTGGATATATAGATCCCCGCGCCGTAGATGATGGAAATATTGGGTTATCAATGTATCTGAAGGTCTGTATTCTTTTGGGATCAATTACCAGCTGTGTCGTTTAAAAGGGTAAAGTAGTTAGAAAGGATGGGACGCCTAGTCAGTTAACAGCCTAAACCATGAACTGTTTATCTAAATGGAGAGATGGCATGCGTGCTCATCTTCAGTCGACTTTTCCCCTTTTCGCACCGGCTCAGAGGAACATCATTTTGCATCGTATCTCTTTTTCTTTCGTTTTTGTGTTATTGTGCGCTTTTTCCTGGAGGTGCTGTCATGCAAAAGTCAGATGATCCAACACCCAGCTGTCTGCGAACTGCTGGAGCGAAACTGCGCCTTCAGAAACCACTCACCTGTCTCTCTCCGCTGGACGCAAGAAAGCGCAGCGCCGCTGATGAGGCATCGCAGCCGCAAGGCGAGCAAAGACGCTCTGCAGCCGTCAGGGACAATACCCCCAGTCCCCCGATGAGTCACCTAAAGTTCGGCAATAAAAAGTTACCAAACGCCATCATAGTTGGGGTTAAAAAGGGAGGAACAAGGGCGGTTCTGGAGTTTATTAGAATTCATCCGGACGTCCGAGCAGCTGGGACCGAAACTCATTTCTTTGATAGAAATTATGACAGAGGTCTGGAGTGGTACAGGTAAGGACACATTTAACGAAACCACAATTTATCATTAAGCGTAAACAGACGCCAAAGTGAGAGGAAAAATGAGGTAGACACTTAAGAATTAACACTTTAGAGCCATGTGTTATAGAACAGAATAGAAAATCCCTTTATTGTCCCACAATGGAAAAATTCTGGTGTTTATACTGCAAATTGAAATCTAAAGAAGTCATTTTTTCTCGCAATAAGTGCTTTTTTTCTTGAATTGAAGAGGTTAGTGAGACACAAATGGAACAAGACAATTAACATTTAAATAAGAAAAAAAAACAACAATTGCCTTGTCTTATTTCAAGTGTATATTTTCTAATTATCTTATTTTAAGAGTAAAAATACTCATTCCATCGGCAAATTATCTTAATAGCCTACTCCAATTAATGTTAAATACACTTAATTTAAGACATTTTTGCAGTGTACAGCAGCAAAAAGATGATAGAAAAAAATTATGTAGATATATATATATAGCCCATTAACCGATCAGATTTTACTGACAGATACGTTTTCTTTTTGTTTTTTGAGCTCTATTCCAATTTAGATATTTTTATTATAAAACCTAAACCCAAAGCAATGTTTTACAGGCTCTTTGTAAGATGTATTGGTGCATATTGGCTGAAAATTGCGGGAGTTTTATTTATCTTCCAATTAATGTAGAGGGAAAATATTTATTTCAGGACAATGACTGGCATATAATTAAGATGTGTGTTCAGTCTTGAGTCTAAGGAACTGTTTCAACTAAAACAGAGATGAAAGTAAGCTCATTTGTTAAAACTGATGAACATTTAAAAACAAATCAAGGGTCTGCTTTGTGTGTGTGAGTTCTAAAACACCTTTTCCAGGGATGTTCCTATTGAACTTTCTGTCAGGTTGAGGGTCTAAGATGCTTATAACAAAGTTTAAACCTGTAAGGCCTTAATAATTAATATGAAATAATTTCCTGCAGAAAATGTAAACCAAAAAAAAAAAAATTACACAATTATCAGGTTTTAATGCAAACGTTTGGTAGGCTATATGCCAAAGTAAACCATGAGGTATTTTTCAAGTTTAAGCAATAATGCAGATGTCATGACGTCAGAATTTCAGGACCCCTTTACTCCAATACTAAATCAGCGTTCTGCCATAAACCATATTTTGCACCAGCAGCCAATTCTCTTACAGTTAAACTAGCAGCATAAAAAAGAAACAAAAGTAGGTCCTTTTTTGTATTCATAGGTTTGATACGGACTTTCTACAAATGCATATCCCTTGTTAATATGTCAATTATCTATATCCAGAAGGCATCTACTGATTAGACTTCACAACAAAGCTTAGATTTTATATATACCTAATAGTTTTCTCCAACTTCACCTATGCTTTTTTTATGTATTTTATTGTTTTTGTAGTAAATATATTGGTTGGGAAAATGTTTGTGTTCAACTAATTTATGAGGTTGACCTACAGTAAGACCTATTGCACATCACTTTAAATGTTTAAGGCAGCCATGTTTATTTAGTTTTTAATTTGTGAGTAGGCTGAACCTAACATTGCACAAGCTGGATTGTCGCTGGATCTTAGTTTTCTCACAACAAATCCATCTTGAAAGACTCCCAGTAATAAGTACATTTACTCACCAGCGGGTGGGACCAATGTCATGCCAGCAGTGTTTTTTGGGGCGGGACCTTTAGGAATGATGACAGTCAGAAGGGTGTTGTCGAGGCAAACATGGCTATACTGGAAGACTCACCTGTCCATACCCCAGCTGACTCGGTTTTAGCTAAAAAAGCAACAATTTCTAATTTAAAAAAGGAGGAAAGAATAGATTTCTGTGCTTTTCTCCCGACAGGCTTTGTAAAAAGTTTGATTTATCAGCTAACTCTGCTAGTTGTGAAAACACTCAAGAAGCAGCAGACAAATCCTATTGTGATGCCACGATTGGCTGAAAGCGTATTATGGAAGGCAGCTACTAGCTGGCACATTACCCAATAAGCTCAAAGTTTTGTATTAAACGTCCCTCCTTTACACTGACAGACTGAACAGCAGCCATCCCAGATTGATAACATAGAACTCAATTCAGTTCTACACATATCAATCTGGCTACTGAGAGATTAGGCTGAACCCCCAGTCATCCTAGAAAGAAACCTGCTCACACTGAGCATGGTTCTGCTGGAGATATCTTACTGTTACAAAGGTGTTTTTCTCTCCACTGTTGCTGCATGCATGCATGCTCAGCGAAAGCAGATGAACAAAACAAAGCAAGTGGATGTTTACTGTTGCTACGCACTCCTCCAGGAGAAGCAGATCCTGCAAACTCAATGACTCAATGTAATCAGATGTGTTTCTTTAGATAGAAAACCTTAAATGTGTGTAATTTGATTTAATTGTCTCTGTAAAGGTGCTTTGAGATGGAATTTTATGAATTGGTCTGTATAAATCAAATGAATCAAACTGAATTAAATTGAGATCCTAGAATAGTCCTAACTAACTTTCTGATCCCATACTTTGTTCTTTCTTTTCTCCTTTAGGCCTCTATGTGTCATTAACATTGGGAAGTGGGTGAAAATATTTAGTAGGGGACATTCTCTTAAGTCACTGAGTCAGCGCCTTTTTATAGGAGTTTTATTGCCATTGCCATTACCTGCAAGGGACTGAACCCTGCTTATACTGGCAGAACACAGACCCACTTTATTTGTAATTGGTCATCATATCCCAGCTGTGCAGTGTCTTTTTAAAAAGTTATAAAGAGGAAATGTTAGTGATATATCTTTTTATTTTTATCTTGGTAAGACCCTATTATTAGGCTGTTTCTTAGTCAATACATGAAACATACCTTTAGGTATTAATTTATTATCATTACAAACTGAAACATATTTTGTTTGTTAAAAACAGTGTTATAAATGGAGTCAAGCAACGAAACATTCTCATCTACTTTTGAATAAATATATCTTTAAGGATTTGCTACCTAGTAGTCTTACGGGATATGTGTATACAATAATTATGGGCTGAAAGTATCTCCACTAATTGGCTCTCTTCAGGATGGTTGGCAGCTGAAGCCCTTTTATCTCAGACAGATGTGATCCCAAAGGCCATTACTGTAGTTTGAGTGTCAGCTGTCAAAACAGTTAAAAGGTCAGAAGAAGAATGTTTCCTAAATAAAGCAGCTGTTTCATTAATGAAGTCCAATTTATTGTTGGGATTCTTCTCATTCTAAATCTGTAACTGAGGGTGCTGTGTGCATGTTTTGTTTTAAGCAATATCTAAACAAAAGAACAAAGATCCCTGCAGTGAAATTGCCAAGCATCAGATGGTGGCTTGCCTGGCCAAGTCTTAGCAGTGCTAAATGCCGTGGTGCAAAAGCAGCCTGGCCAGGTCCTCCTTTGGAGAACAAATAAAAGCACATTTTAAGAAGGTAAACAGAATTGTATTTTCTGAACCTTTTGTAAAAATCTCTCTGTATGCCCTTAATTATCTACATTTTTTTTCCTGCTGCTCAGTTTTCCATAAAATCTAAGTTTGTTTCTAAATAAATTTCCAAACAGTTTACATAAGGCATATTGTATAGTATAGTATAGTATAGTATAGTATAGTATAGTATAGTATAGTATAGTATAGTATAGTATAGTATAGTATAGTATAGTATAGTCTTAGTTTTGTTGCTCTTCATTGTGTTAATGTGATTTTTTTTTGAAGATTTTATCACAGTTTTACTCTCACCACGTGTGACAGGGATCTTCAACTGCAGTCTTGTGTCCTGCAGGTTTTAGATGTCAACCTGCAATAACACAGTGTATTCAAATGGCATGATGTTCTGCATGAGCTAATAACTAGTGTGTATGTATTAAAAAGAAGGCAGTATCTAAAACATGCATGTGTTAGGGGTTTTAAAACTGATTTTTGACGTCTCTTTTATGACATTTGCACCATGGGTAATTATGCATCCTTCACTCTGTAATAATGGCCTTAAAGATCAACCAGGACAGCTATGGTATTAAAATGACTTGAAGAGGTCTTCTGGGATGCAGGGAACTCTTTATTGATACCAATTACCCATTGCATTAAGTCATTTGTTGCATTGCACTCTGCAGTCATGGCTGTTTAAGCACATTCTGTCCCTCAAATGCTTCGGTTCCAAGAGGCTCTCAGCAAAAAACAAGAGGAATGAACAGTCCAGAATCCCGACTGCCAAGATCAGGTCCTTTTTACATTGAAACTGGTGAAAAAATTCACATTAGTTTGAAAAGATTCTTAACAGAGAAAAAAGTTTTAAAAAGGTAACCAAACATTTCCCTGGCTTTAACTGAAATTTGATTAAAGGTTATTAAGTGAGGATTGATGATCTTATTAAATTGAAATTCACCTATATAAATCTAAAAACATAGTCTGATGATAGTCATAGAACTTTGCTTTTCCATTAAATTATTTGATATGGTTTTTTGTATTGTTACTAGACCAAAACCAGTCTGTCTTGTGCAATAAAGGATATTATTTTGACAGTTAAACGTTTAATTTATATAATCAGACATTATAAAAGAATCAAACAAAATATTTTTGCAGCTTTTCAATGTAACTCTTTTCTCAACTGAGAGCCGAATACGGAGTTCCTCTTTAGAAAAATATAAGTAATGTAAGCAAATGACAGCAAATTCCTCAATTTGAATGTTTTATGTCACAAATACACACTTTATGTCATTCAAATTCATATTGAGCAAAAATAACTGACTTGAAAAAAATCTTTTTTGTAAAAAACAAAAACAAATAATTGGCTGTCCCCCTATCTAATCGAAGGAATAGCACTGCCATTATGTGTTTGCCTTCTCTCTTTCTAACTGTCGCATCATCAATGCCTAATTGAGCCAAAACCTGCCTGGTTTGATTTATAGTCTAGGTGCTTTTGTTACCTTATGGATGAGTCTGTGTTGGATTCTTGCAGTAATCCTGGTTTTCCTTGTTATTTCTGTGAATCGTCCTCCCTCTTTTAGGTTTTCTTATTCTCAGATCTTTAAAAATTTATTTTTAACTCTTTACAGGCTGATACATGTGAATGATTTTGTCGCTCAGTATTTTTTTTTTATTTCTTTTCATTTTGACATGATGTGAGATCTTTAGGGTAGTTCAAGTTGCCAGGCAAAGTCTATTTCAGTGATTTCTTGATTTAGCTCATCAGAGTTATATGGCTTGGGTGGGCTGTGTGAAACTTAAATAGGCCCAGCTTGGTTGAAATTCACCATATTCAGTTATGTGATTCGTATCTGAAAATAAAATTGTTATGTGCAAAAATAAAAGGATTCATCTAGAAATCGTCTCATTAAAATGTTTAAATTTAGTTATTATGAGCAGCAATCCAAACTAATAGAACAGATTGAGTGGACGTTCCTGACACCTTCTTTAATGTACCAACGTGGCCTAGTTTTGGAACCCAGAAGTAACCTCTTTTATATAAATGTTCAGACTGTATTCATGGTGATTTATTGCTCCTGAACAGTTCTGGGCTGATGCACAGGAAAGCTGTCTACGACACAAATCTCAAGCGACAACAACCCACTTTGAGTATGCTTCATTTACATTAAGTAACTGGGTTTATGCTCAAACTGGTGTTAAGTTTGACTAGCTTTTGCTTTTCGCTCTGTGTTCTTGCACCAGATGTATAATTTATACTATTTACTTGTTTAAACATTTTATTCTTGGTGGAGATTTTTGCAGATTTGAACAGGAGTGTTATTTAGCAATGAAAAGGCCAGTCATTGTTACTGCTCTGTTTGTTAGAAAAAAAGCATATGTGACTTGAAATTTTGCAATGTTCTTTACTTTCTCTTTTATTTCAGAAGTTTAATGCCAAGGACCCTTGAAAGCCAAGTGACGATGGAGAAGACACCAAGCTACTTTGTGACCAAAGAGGCTCCGCGCCGGATCTCTGCCATGTCCAAGGAAACTAAGCTCATAGTGGTGGTCCGTGACCCTGTCACTCGAGCAATATCAGATTACACTCAGACTTTATCCAAAACCCCAGACCTGCCAAGCTTCCAGGATCTGGCCTTCAAAAACCAGAGCATGGGCATTGTTGACATGTCCTGGAATGCCATCCGAATCGGACTGTATGCTCTACACCTGGAGAACTGGCTGCGTTACTTCCCTCTGGCTCAGATTCACTTTGTCAGTGGAGAGCGTCTTATCACGGACCCGGCTGGGGAGCTGGCCAGGGTGCAAGACTTCCTCGGACTGAAGCGCATCGTCACTGACAAACATTTCTATTTCAACCGCACAAAGGGCTTCCCTTGCCTTAAAAAGCCAGAGAGTAGCGCTTCACCTCGCTGCCTGGGAAAGTCTAAGGGCAGAACTCACGTGCAGATCGACAGGGAAGCTATTGAGCAACTTCGAGACTTTTACAGGCCTTATAATGTTAAGTTTTATGAAATGGTGGGCCATGACTTTAAATGGGAGTAGATGTTTTACTTTTTTTTTTTTTACATGGAAAAGTTACAGTACATAAAAACTGTCTGCACAGCAATGCTAAAATGTCACATGTTTTCATGTAAATATCAATCTTCTAAGACATATAACCAATGCAAGTCAGTTCAAAAACTAATTACAATCTTTTCAGGAATAAAATAAAATACACAAAAAACTCACCATCGCATAATTGGAGATGTGGCTTCACTATATATTGGAGAAAATATGAAGCAACAAAACTGGTAAAAGATGAGAAGAAACTTTGTCAGGTAAGATACCAAAAGGTCAAAAGTAACATTTAAAGAACAGCAGAACTTTCTGGCCATTAGTGAAAACTATGTGTTTGGTATAAAAACAATGTCCTAAAAACAAAACAAAAAACACCATATTAATAGTGAAGCATGGTGGTGGTAGCATCATGCTTTGGGGATGTTTCTCTTCAGCTGACAATATGGTGTTAATCATGATGGAAGGAATCATAATCAGCACCAAATAAAAGTAGCCTTTGATAAATAGCCTTTAGATATCTGCTGGAACCAAGGATATATTAAGGATAGAATGGCCCAACTGGAGCCCAGATCTGAAACCCTGACAATCTTAAAGGAATAGTACACCCAAAACATGATTAGCCTTCATTTTCTACTCACCCCCATGCTGAACAACACTCTGGAGTACTTTTTTG